GTTGGCAAGTCAGATGCAGCAGATAGGAGGTGCCCTTGGCCGCCCTGGCAGCGTGCTTTTCAAACAGAAAGGCAAGGTCCATGAGCTGAGCCACCCCCAAGCTCTTAATCCGCTCTTAAAAAGCCAGTGTCACTCCACCTAGGATAGATGGAGATAGTCCCTTTCGAATGCCAGCCTTCCTGACCATTGTGACCTGCGTCTTGTCTGGATTCAGCTTCGGTTTGTTCTACCTTGGCGGTGGAAAGTGCTGCCAAGTCATAGCTGCCTTTAGGGCGAGCCCGGTGGGTTTTCAAGGCAAGAGACATTCAGAGGTGTTGGGCCATTGTCTGCCTCCATGTCACAACCCTGGTGCTCCGTGCAGACTACTAGCCAGGGCTGACCCTACCTAGGTTCCGGGATCTGACGGGATCAGGCTCGCCTGAGCTATACAGGTCAGGGCTTGTTCTCTCTTAGCCTTAAGCCCATAGAACCAGGGGCACAATCCAGAGAAAGGTGTATCTGCTTCAGTCCTGTGGATTTTGGTCATTAATGAAGTGGTGCCATACTTCATTTTCAAGTATTTTATGTTCCTATGTGCTAAGTATTGGAAATGGAACTTCACACTCTTCTTGGATGTAGACTTAGTTGTTGTTGTTCAGTTGAGCCCGACTCTTCGCAACCCCATAGACCACATCACGCCAGGCCCTCCTGTCCCCGGAGTTTTCTCAATTTCATGTTTGTTACATCAATAGCACTGTCTAACCATCTCATCCTTTGCCGTCCCCGTCTTCTTTGACCTTCAGTCTTTCCCAGCATCAGGGTCTTCTCCAGGGAGTGCTCCCTTCTCATTTGGTGGCCAAAGTATTTGAGCTTCAGCTTCAGTATCTGGCCTTCCAGGGAACAGTCAGGGTTGATTTCTTTTAGGATTGAATGATTGGATCTCCTGGCCGTCCAAGGGACTCTCAAGAGTCTTCTCCAGCACCATAATTCGAAAGCATCTATTCTTTGGTGCTTGGCCTTCCTTATGGTCCAACTCTCGCAGCTAGATATTACTACTGGGAATACCATTGCTTTGACCATGCGGACTTTTGTTGGCAGGGTGATGCCTCTACTTTTTATTATGCTGTCTTGGTTTGTCATAGGAGCAGGTGTCTTTTAATTTCATGGCTGCAGTCACCGTCTGCAGTGATCTTGGATCCCAGGAACATGACTCAGACCAGCTTATAAAAACAGCTTTATGCTCCATTTGTATTAGCATATTCTACAGCCTTTCATTCTAGTGGCTAATACTTAAAAGAGCTTTCTTTTTTCCCCATTTTAAGATGCCTTTGGACGTTATACGGAACGAACTGTCCAACAGTATCCTGTCCCTACAACCAGAGCCAGAAATCCCACCAGAACTGCCTCCTCCAAGACCTCACGTCCGCTGTTGCTAACTTGCTGCTTCATCCAGAGTTGAAGTGAGAACGGTGGGGGTGAGGGGGGAGCACCAGTACTCCCGTGCACTACAATCACGTGGCGGTTCCTCGTTGCACTTTGATCCAGAATCAGAGCTACACACTAATTTGTAAATATGCAAATATGCAAACCTGGGTAGGATTCAGCTGTGAGTGGTTAAATAATGGCTCTTCCCACAAGTGGTTTCCTTTTTCACTCCTCTTTCCCAGCGCTATAAATATTGTACATTTGGCTGGGGAAACACAGCACTCCCAAACCTAGGATGTAAGAAATTAAATGCATACTTTACTTATTCTGAACATAAATGTTGTAATAGTCCTTGATATCAACAGAATCTCTTCTAGTATATGGTGCTTTGCTAGCTTTTTTAAAAAGAGATTTTTAAAAATAATTAGACATACATTTATAAAGCTTTCTTAAGCAGCGTTGTTTTCCCCTTCTTCTATTGAAAAAGAATTGTTACTGTTGCATCTTAAAATGATGGAGAGTGGAATTCAACAAGTTCTGGTGCTGCACAGCCCCCTTTCAGTGGTGGTTACATATGTAGGTCAGCACGTGCCTCGCTGAAACGCCTAGGGGTTGTGCGGCAGCAGAATTTGATGGACTACGTTTTTGAACCTACAGATGAGGAGTTTCCAAAACGTCTCTCTTATTTATTATGTCTTTTTAATTTAATATTCTTTCTGTACTAAGGCACTGCTCTCAGTGCAGTTTTTAATGGCTGAATTGGCAACTGTCACAATTGGTTTCCTTCTTAAGTATAAATTATGTAGTAATTGGACTCTTAAAAAAGATATATTTGAAAGATATAAAAGAAATCGCTGTTGTCCTAGACGAATTATCTTCATTTTTAGGATACGACTTTTTCCTTGTGTTAAGGAATATATATGTGTATCTATCAATATACATAGGGGAGAGGGGTTTGTTAAAATACACTTTTGTCCATTGCATTTATTCCCATCTAATATGCTGTGCTAAAGGCTCTTTTCTTTTTGTCTGAATGAACTCGTGAACAGTTTTTTTTTGGAGGGGTATATCTTTTATTAAAACTGCACTGTATAGTCTAGCTGTGGTTAAGCCAGTAGTTCCAGATCTGAATAACTCGGTATGTCCTCAGTGTGTTGTGGTATTGAAAAGCATTGTCGTTCTAAACTAATGACGTGCCAATAAAATTTTGTATTTATGAATGACAACGGAGCAGCATCTCATTAGAATGCCAAACATCAAATGTTGGCCAAAAGGATAAAGTCTAGTCTGGGAAGACAAACATTTTGAATTAGCTTTCTAGTTTGTAAAAACAGGATCAATGAATAGCTATTAACAACTCATAGATCATAGAATAGATCCACTGGCTTTGAAAACCTAAATTGCTATTGTATTTTCTAGTGCCTGATTCCTTGATCTACGTGCTCAGGCATTTTTCTCTTAGTGGCATGTTCCACTGACTTCCTGAGAATTTCTCTTCAGGTTCCTGGGAAGAATTAAGAATGTTAAATAATTGTTTGCAGTTTAAGTAAATGAAAGTTCCTACTGATCTTGGTATTGTGATAGGAATACCTCTTTGGGTCATTCCGTTTCAACTACTAGTGTAAGAGTGGTTTAGCAGTGGAACAGTCTGGCTTGGGAGGTGGTGGATGCTCCTTCGCTGGAAGTTTTCAAGCGGAGGCTGGGCGACCACCTTTCGGGTATGTTGTAGGGCTATCTTTCAGCTATGCTCCTGCAGAGTGCAGGGGGTTGGACTAGATGACCTGCAAGGTCCCTTCCAACTCTAACATTCTATGATTCTATACTAAAAGATGCACCATTCAAATGTATTCCTATTTCCGCTACCACAATGTGCCTATACAAGTGTTGTTCTTCACAAAGATATTGTAAGGCCTACTTTAGTACCGACTAGACAAAGTCTGCCATTTTTGTAGCACTTGTAGTAAAGTTGTGGGCAATAACAGAGGAAAGGAACTTGCGAATGATAAATTTAAACTTGACAAACATTTAGGGAACTTTCTGTATTTAAAAAAAAACACCTGTGTTTTTGCCTTCTGTTCTTGAATAAAAATGTAAGAAAACTTGGCCTAAATAAATGTTCTGTCTTACAAGGAACTGTTTACTCTTGTACATCAAGTAAGATGAGTGTATTCTTCTCTTGGTATAGATTTTAGCTGACTCGAAAGATCCAAGGAGGGACCAGATTTGCATCTGACTTTTTCATGTCAAGCAGAATATTGTGTCCCTTGCCATCCCAAAGGGGCTCAGTCTGCAACATCCATAAACCTGTGTTTTTTGTTACTGGCTTTAATATAACGTTCTAGATATTTGAAGAATGTTGCCAAGTCTCCCAACCACTTTCATTAATATCATATTTCTAATTCCAAACTGGATTATATGATTGTTTATATGCAAAATGGAGCAAGAAACAGGACATTTCTCTACAAATAAAGAAAATCACAGGTTTCAGAAAAATTGGAAATTCTTAAAGACACAAAGGAAAAAAATGGGACCAAAACTCCCCCCAAATAATAAAACATCCACCGATTTAAGGAAAAAAATACACTAACTGAGCTTTCAGTGGCCATGTTGGAGGTCGCTAGGCAACTACAATGCTGCTGAGCCTCCCAAGCCTTCGTTTCTGTAATGCAAAGGAAGGAAGAGCAGGAGTGGACTGGGGTGCTGGGACAGCTCTGGAAAAGAATCTGCCGCCTTCATGTCCTATGATAAAAGAGGACTCTGGCCTGATGGTCACTACTTAACCAGATTTTTCCTGGGGAGGGGCTGTGGAAGGGAGGGAAGGGAAAACTGAAGATGGGGGGGGGGGCAGCCAAAGGTAGGCTGGTTGGTGGGTAAAAGGCAAAGGTTCCCTTGCTCGAAAGCCAGTCGAGTCCGACTCTAGGGTTGCGGTGCTCATCTCCATTTCCAAGCCGAAGAGCCAGCGCTGTCTGAAGACGTTTCCGTGGTCATGTGGCCGGCATGACTAAACACCAAGGCGCACGGAACCCTGTTACCTTCCCACCGAAGTGGTACCTATTGATCTACTTGCAATTTCTTGCTTTCGAACTGCTAGGTTGGCAGGAGCTGGAACTAGAGACGGGAGCTCACTCTGTCATGCGGCACCCGGGTCTTGAACTGCGGAACTACTGACCTTCCACAGCCTGCAGTTCAGCGTCTTAACCACTTGAGCCACCGCAGCTCCACAGTTGGTGGGTAGAAAGCTGGAAAAGGGGAGAGGAAAAGAAGAAACAGAAGGGGGATATAGGGGGAAAATAGATGCCCTCCAAAGTCCCTGTAGGTCCCCTGCTTGTTCTTTCTAAGACAGAAGGTAATATTCCCTAGTTCCCAACCAATGCTCCCTCTAAGCTGTGGAGTCTTGTGAGCAACAATTCTACTTTGCGAGCTACCGGCATTAAAGTTGTGAGCGAGTGATTTGGCTGCTGCATAAATTAGTTTGCTCTGGAGCTCATCCTTCCTGAGCGAAGACAAAAATGTGGGAGCTAGAGACTAAAAAACAGTGAGCTAGCTCACAGTAACTCAGCTTAGAGGGAACACTGTTCCCAACCCCCCCCTTTTTTTGAGCATGAAGGTACCTTTTTAGCATTTCCCCCCCAGACCTCCACATGATAGTTGTATTGTTGGTATTAGTTGATAGCGGAACTACATGACGACGGAAAGCTGCTATGAATTCAGTAATCAGAATTAACATACATCTGAAAAATACACATGGGCAAGACATATGTATTCAGTTGTCAGAAAGTATGTTTGCTCAATTATTATACTGAGTTATTTTAATGGGGTGCCTGGTGTTTAGAAGGTTTTAGAGACTGGAAGTCTGGTTGAAAGGTAGACAGTAGACATGAAAGACTTGACAGAGTACAAGAAAGCTTAATTATGTTTGTACAGTGTGATGTTCCTGTGGTAGCTGCCTAGAACAGGGGTGTCAAACATAAAGCCCGGGGGCTGGAACCGGCCCACCCAGGGCTCTTGGCCCAGCCCGCAAGCAACCGGTATGTATGGAACTGTAAGGTACTCCCTATTAAGTCGCTCGCTTAACAAAGTAGTGGAAGAGTGATTCAGCAAAGATTCAGCTTTATTCCACAACTCGAACACAACTCCAACACGGATCAACATCTGATAGCCAGAACAGCTTTTACATTGCAGCTGTTCTGGTTTTAAACTCTCCCGGCTAATGTAGCCACACCTACTGTACATTTACCAACCAATAAGGTTGCATACATAAGGACCAATCACGGACATTCCCGCTCAGGGAGCTTGTTGATAGTGATTGGTTAGGTGCTTCCTGGGCTAGCAATGTGATTGGATCTTGGACGAAGCTTAACATAGCATTTCAATTAGATGTTTTCATCACACATTATGCATTCAATGGCAGCTTATTGAATACATTACACTCCCCCTTTTATGTTATCCCTTGGGGGAAAAAACCCTACTCTTGCATACGATTAAATACATTTATTGGGGCTTTTGTGCATTCCCCAGTGACAAAGTGACATTTATGAGTTTGACACCTCTGGCCAAGAAGAGCCCCCTTCGCTAAGACAGTTAGCCTGTACTCATGGGAATTCACTTGGACGCCCAGTGAGCTTTCAATCCATGACAGAACGGACAGTGGACGCTTAGTTATTTTGGGTTTGACCCTGCTTTTCAGTGGTAAGTTGGCTGTCAAAGAAGCTCATGGGTATCGAAATCTAGCCTATAATGATTAAAGTGCCATTCGAAATGTTCCTTGTGGAGAGAATTCTCAATTGTGTTGGATCCAGGCCATGATCACGGGAAGGAGGGCTGCCCTCTCATGGCCTTAACGGTGGTCCTCTTGAGTTGGAGGAAGAGGGACCTCGTTTCCAGAATACGCCACCAGATCTCAGCATGTGTGTTGAGTTGCAGGCGTTTTCCACAGCTGATCATGTTGTGGTTGCTAACCAAGGTGGCCAAAGAAAAGAGAAGTCCGGGAGCGACTGAGCCAAGTCACGGAAATTACGCTAGCATCTGCTTGCTTAGAGTCAGAGCTCACTTTTCAGATACACGAATTGTCTAGGGCGACCCTGGGGTGGTTGAAAAGGAGATGCCATGTCACGGTGGAACTCCTGCTCCCTGATGGACCCTGGGACTTCCCAGGCGGCTGGAGATGTGGGAGGAGCTAGGGAAGCCAACGGATGAGCCCACAATATGGTTGCCAGACTCCTGGTGGAGCCTGGAGGTCTCTCAGAATTACGTCTTCCCTTGGATCAGCTCCCTTGGAGAAGAATGGCTGCTTCGGAGGGTGGGCTCCGTGGCGGTATACCCTGCTGAGGGTCCCTGCCTTTCTCCTCCTCAGGCTCCACTCCCAAGTTTCCAGGGATTTCCTCACCCAGAGTTAGCAACCGCAGCCCACGAGGAAGCAAGCCATCAGAGAGCAGCTTCTTCAAGGGCCATGGCCCGTGCCTCCATTCAAGACATGGGCACTTCTAGCTGTCACTGGAGATAGAAGGTGGGGGATGGGAGACAGCATGTCCCACCCACGCCTCTCACGGGGAGTGGTTCTCCGTAGGAGTAGGCTAGCAGCCCTGACTGGTGCACACTTGGGGGTCCTCTGGCTGAGGATGGTCCACAATGGATGATGAAGAAGAGATTGGATTCATACCCTGCCCTTCACTACTCGAAGGAGTCTCAGAGCGGCTTACAAACTCCTTTCCCTTCCTCTCCCCACAACAGACACCCTGTGAGGGAGGTGGGGCTGAGAGAGCTCTCTCGAGAACTGCTTGTGAGAGAACAGCTCTGAGAGAATTTGTGACTGGCCCAAGGTCACACCAGCTGCAGACGGGGGAGTGGGGATTCAAACCCGGTTCTCCCAGATTAAGAGTCTGTGCTCCTAACCACTACACCAAACGGGATGGGGGGCTTCTGGAGGGGTGTGGCTAAACTGTGGCAAGTAGCAGGTAGATTAAACCCAGCCAGCAGCCAGACTGACACAGATTTGGGGAAGGGGCATGGTTGCCACAGAGGCAAGCAGAGGGGGAGGGTGGAAATCTGCCCAAGCTGGATGGAATTGTGGGCCCTGTGTGATAACTCTGCAGCCCACCAGGGGTCCTCGGCTCCCAGGATGGGATGGGAGCTCCCCCTCCAACTAAATTTAGCACCAGAAGCCACTCCGCAATAACAGGAAGTCGCCATCTTGAAATTGCGTTAGGTGCTTGAGCACCTA